ACAAAGCAACTGCCTAGAATAGTGTGTCTGGTGTTGAATAAGCTCTTAATGACCATTTGTTGAATAAGTTAACATCCTCAGAGAGATAAGATATTGCGGCTAAGAAATAAGAAGACAATATATTTAAAAGGTCCCTAAGAACAAGACAAACTCCCGGACATAAAGAAAGGAAACATTTAATAGAAGGACTGGAAAATAGAGTTGAAATCTCTTGGAAAGTAAAGCAAAAAGACAAGGGGATGTGAAAAGGAAAAAAAAAGTTAGGGACTGTCACAGGAGATTAACACCCAAGTAACACCAGGTGTTCAAGAAAAAGACAAGGACATCAGAGGGGGAAAAACATTAAGAAATAAGTTAAGAAAAGCCCTAGAATTGAAAGACACAGGTTTCCAGGGACACTGGAAGGGCCTACCAAAAGTCCAGGACTGACTCATTATGGAGAAGAACAATGACATAGAGAAGAAAACACCTGAGAAGAAAAAGAAGAAAACATAGAGAAGAAAAAATCCGCACCTTGTAAAACGATGACATGCAAGGCACGAGATCACACACAACAAAACAAGGATCACCATGGCTATGAAATTCTCAGAGGCAATGCCGGAAGCTAGAAGACAGTGCAGCAATGCCTTGAAAGTTCAGCAGAAAAGTGATTTCTAGGCCAGAATTCTATAAACAATCGGTGATTTAAGTGTCAGAGCAGAACAAAGACATCTTTCAGGCATGCAAGGTCTGAGAACATTTAGCCCAGGTGCCAAGAGGAAATGTGCTCCTCCTTCCCGACTCAGGGCTTCTTGGGGCCAGGAGAGCAGGCCTTGTTCCTTATCCCCCTTTTCGTCCCCAACAGCTGATACAGTATGTGATAACTTCCTCTGTGAAGAAATGGTTTGAAAAGCCGGCCTCATCCATTCTTGGGACCATGGGGAATATTTATGATTATGGGAGGATGTGTGATTGCGTTGCTTGGTACATGTTTTATCCTCTTACGGGCAGTACTTTAAAGGGTGGGGTGAACTCTATTGACATGTGACCTGCACTGCTTCTGCTGGACGATCCTGTGAAGGCCACAACAGGCCACCTGATGCAGAACTGGGAAGATCTCTGTGGGTCTCTAAACGAAGAATAGGCCAGCGAAGTAGAGGACCCAACGTCTCTCAACTTTCAGATTTGTCATAGGCCTGAAATTGTTGCTTGGTTACTCCTTGCCCCTATGGGATTTCCTCCCCTTGAAAGACCCTGGGGCAGTGAGGCGCTCACGCGTGTGTGCTCAAGTGGCTGGAAGCTCCAGCATTGTCATGAAGCATGGGATTTGGGAGCTGGACAGTTCTGGGTTTTCATTCTACTACTTAGGAGAGTGAGCCTGTTTCGTCACATTTTAAAAGCACTACACCAACACCTTCACTTCCCCCAACAGAGCACTCACAAGTGGCTAGACACTTTCTCTGTTTGTTATTTCATTTTAATCCTCCCACCAACCACATGAAGATGTCCTGATTATTGTCCTGATTTTCTGGAAACAAAACAAAACTTGAGGCTCAGGAAATTTCTTGTCTAAGTTCACACAAGTGGTTGAATTCAGAGGTAAACACAGGCATTCAGCTTCTTCACCTCCTGTCCACATGCCCCTTGATGGCTGGGATCAGCCTCATCTTCATGCCAGCGGGCGTCATACCGCACAGCTGGGTGATTACTTACCTGGGGTCCTCTCCTGCCATACCTGGAAGACGCACAGTGTCTTCACCCAGGAGGCTTACTGCCCCCACCCCACAATGCAGAGGAGCTGTCTGATGTCCTATTAAGGGAGGGCCTCCCCTGCGTCTGAGCTCAATGCTACTCACTCCCAGTGGGTGTTCACCAAGCAGGACTGTGAACTCAGGAGGCCAGAATCCATGACCGCTGAGAACTGACCACTCTCAGCCTCAGCCCAATGCCTGGCACACTGTAGGCGTGCAATAACTGTGTGCTGAATGAAGGACTCAAGCCTCCCACCTCTAAGTGGGAGGGGAAAATGGGTGCAGTGGTATTTGTGAAGCAACTGGACCTCATAATAGCCCCAAGCATCTGGGATCACTGGTGCTTCTAGCGATCTAGCTCTGGGGAGCCAGTCTTGGTTACAATGGGGCCTTGAAGGAGCCTGCAACCTTGCTCTGATCAGGAAGGGCAATGATGCAACACAGCCTTCCAGGGCCATGGGCCCGTTGAAGAGCAGGCTGACGGGCATCAGGAGGTGACAGTCACTTTGAAAATTGACAGCTGGCTCTCCTCAAGTCAACGTGATATGGAAAAGTCGAGACCTGAAGGTAGCATCTTCCACTGTGATAGGGATCTTCCTAGATGGGCGGGTGCCTCGTGATCCCAGATACCCCTGCCATGCCCATCTTCCACAGCATCCCTGCTCCCTGTTTTGAAGCCCAGCTTGCTAACATGCATTCTTTACTCCAGAACCTGAACTTTTTACCTTTTGGAGTCAAAGGCTCTGATGAAAAGCTCTGATGAAAAGCTCTGATGAAACTAGGAACCCCCTCTCCGGATATTCATATGCATATGCACAGAAAACATTGCACACACCTAGGATCCTCACAACAACCATGGCCCCACCCCCCCTACAAACCTAGCCTCATGCCGGACTTAGGGCCAAGAAAGGAAGAGCCCCTCTAAGCTGCAGCAGACGGCCTGGGATGGAGTCAGGACAGTCTGTCAAAATGTTCAGGGAACCTGGACTTTAAACTTGGATCACTGCTCTTGTGAATCCAGCAAATGAAGTAATAGATGCTAAAAGCCCTACACAATTACACTAGCGGTTGGAGTCCCCCACCCAGCCTGGAGGGCAGTAGGCTCGAGCAGGTGACAAGGACAGAGAAAGAGGCCCTGTTCCTCCTTTCCTAGGCATGTGCTCTTGCACAAGGCCTCTCCCAGGTTTCAATTCTTACTTTCTGCAGAGGGCATCTAGGCGAAGGGGTACTGGGTGCAAGAGAGCATGACCAACGGCAAACCCCGCCTGTCCTCCATTCTAGCGGTTATCCTGGGCAAGGCTGTCAGCTTTCTCACTTGTAAAACAGGGATAACAGTGCCCACCTCCCCAGTGTTGTCATCACTTGTCACCGTTAAGGACGGTGAGGGCAAAGGCCCGTCACACCATGCCAGCTAAATGTAGGCTGCTCTTACCATCACTGTCCAGCTTTCGGGGAGCCTTGGGATAAAAAAAGAACGCATGTGTAGATACCTTGTTATCGTTCTAATGAATTATTCAGTACCTCGTGATGTGGGCGATTGCCACATTTTTAAGTGAAGAATGAAATCTTCAGAATGGTGACCAATGCTCCCAACCAACCTCACTCTCAAACGCAGATGGAGGTGAGAATAAATGAAGAGCCCACAAGTCGTCATCGCGGAACTGTCTTTACTAACAAAACCAAAGAACTCCACACACTTTTTGTGGCCATCGACTTTTTTTCTTTCAAATTTTAAAATGGTATTGTGCATACACATAGTTTTAAAATTTAGACACATTTTGGAGATCACAAACAAATCAAGAGATCACCGTGCGATGTTCTGAGATCTGAATTCAAACACTTAGAATTACTGAACCGACTTCCGTAAGTTTTCTGTTCCTTGAAGTGGATGCCGTTTCTCCTCTGCCTTCAGGGACTGTCCCTTCTGCAGCAGCTACGTAACAGGTGCTAGGAAGGGGGATAACGTAGAGTCCGAGAGCTGCGCATCTGTTAACATCTAGTGGGTAAGCAGGAGGGTGTCAACCCAGCTGACTTAAAAAAGGAAACCCCATAAATAAAAGCTCCATTTATTCCACAAATACTTTATCTTTCCCTCAGTACATTAGTTGGAAAGAAGGCTGACACTTAACTTCTCATATATGGTGAGATGCCCAGGTAAGTGAGCGAGTCTCCATTGCTGTTTCTGGTCTGGAGACATGTGCCCAGAATCAGGGCCTTCGACGTGCTCCCCCTGGCTGAGGCAGGATGTACTGGGGGTTTCTGGGGGCAACCCCTGTGCAGTCCCATTGGCTTCCCCTGAGGAACTAAGTTTGGGCAAAGCTGTTAGCCGAAGCCTTGAGGCAGGCAAGACCTCCTAAGCTGTGTGTGTGTGGTTTGGAGGAGGTGGGTGGGGAGGGAAGGAGGGTGCATGGTTGTTTGGCTCTCCTGCCAAACAGTCCCCCTCAACTGATTCAGGACCACATGTCCTGACTTTAGGAATGGGGTACTGGGCTGCCTGAGAAGTACTGGGCAGGCCCAGGAGGTTGGTTAAAATATAACCAAGAGCATTTATACCCATGGAAGCCATCAACCTAACTTGAGAGAAGATAGTCATGACTTAGAAACAGTGTCTGCAATGAAGGCATCCATGAGGCTTCATTTAGAAAATGAAGGTCCTGGGGCGCCTGGGGGGGCTCAGTCGTTAAGCGTCTGCCTTCAGCTCAGGTCATGATCCCAGGGTTCTGGGATCGAGCCCCGCATCGGGCTCCCTGCTCCGCGGGAAGCCTGCTTCTCCCTCTCCCACTCCCCCTGCTTGTGTTCCCTCTCCCACTCTCTCTCTCTCTGTCAAATAAATAAAATCTTTAAAAAAAAAAAAAAGAAAATGAAGGTCCATGTTCAGATGCCAGGCCCACAAAGAAGGTTCAGCAACACCCGACGAACTGCATATGCATGAAGGAGATTTGTCTTCTGCATGGATATTCCTGCTCCTTTATGAAAGGAGTGGAAACTAGGGCTGATGAGTGATTAGACAGACCCTTATGGACAAGGACCAGACCAGCGGAGAAACCTATCTAGGCTTTTATGACCCGTGCCTCAGCTCACAAGAGGAGAAGTGCGTGGAAAGTCCTAGGCCACTGGTACGGTGATGACAAACTCTTCTAAAACCTGAAATCCACACGACAGAATTACTGAGAATATGCTAATCCAAATTAATGTCCATTTTTTTAGATAAAACAGGTCAGGCAGATTAATACCACAATTTTCTTGGTTAGATTATGTTTCCCATATGTATAAATGCAGACTAGTCCTTTTATTGCTTCATATATTTCAATCAAATGTGAGATTTCAATCACCCAAAAGTAGGCCAAAAATGACCGTATTCCCCCCAAATTTACACTGAGATAACTTACCAAATTTTGATGTAAGTTTAATTGCAGGGACAGGGGAACAGGTGAATATCTGCTTTTCGCCATCTGGAATTGGATCTACTGAACTTATAATAGGTTATGATGATGATAAAGTTTTAATAATGTAAGCCAAATCTAGAATTGCCAATGCTTAGTCACCCCTACTTGATTTACAGTATGGTCATGGAAAGGCCTCCCTTGGCTGTTTTCTGGTATCACGAAGTCCAGCGCCCAGGGCACTGGCTGGTTTGGGCTGGGACTGACAGGAGCCTCTGGAACTCCACACAGGTGCCCGGAACTTCAGCTGAGAACAGGGCGCCCCAGTAGAGCTGCGACGCATGCCCTCTGGCTTCTTAAAAACACCAAGGGTGAACACAAAACACAAAGAGGGAGCGGAGCGTTCGGCGACCCGGTGCAAAGGCTCAACCCCCACCCCCACCCCCAACCATTCCAGCAAAACCCCCCTCTTATCTTCTTTCTTTTCGGTCTTTGGAATGGTCTTTCCCTCGTGCTTGTCCGAAAGGTACTCACAGAGAGTGCTGACAAAGTATCACGAGGATACCACCTTAGAGACGCTTTCTGGTATATGAGAGAGACACCGCCTGACTATTCCCTGTCAACACAGGAGACACCTCCCTTGAATCTTATACACAGAGAAGTGGCTGCCGCCGTGCCCTCGTGTGCGCTCGGCTCCGGGCTCATGGGAAGGGAAGGGCTTTCTGTTTGGAACAACTTACACCTCTAGACAACGAACACCAAGGAACATGCAAATGCTACAGAGGGCTGGAGGTGAAGAATTCGTATTTCACACCAGTGAGGGGAACACTGTTACAAAACGCTGACGGGATGGTTTCTGTCATTCATGCTCTAACTTGAGGGTCTTTGCAACAAAGGGGGCCCGTGAAGGTGTTTGCTTCTTTTTTTTTTTTTTTGCCTTCTTCCGGATTCACAGTTGGTTCTGTGTCAGGCACTAAGCAACCTGGCTTTTGGTCCAAACAGGTGTCTTAGTAGTCTCTTTACATCTTTTTGTTCCTCTGCGAAGGAGCAAGTTCAAATGCTGGAAACTGGGATGTCTCCGGTGCCAAGATGTCCGAGAGAAAGTGAATCGCGCCAGCCATGCCTGCAACGTACAATGTGCATCCTTTTATTCAAAGGCATTAGGGGAGTGTCCAAAACAAAGTGACCTGTGATCACTGCCTGTACCAGGGGCTACAGGGATGATGGGAAAGGTGCTGAGGACGTCACAAATGACTTCATAAAAAAACAAAAACAAAACCAAAAAAACACAAAGAAATCCTTACATTAGCACCCAGCAGATAACAATACCAGTTTTCTTCCCTGTCTTTTTTTTTTTTTTTTAATTGGGTTCTGGGCTTTAATCCTGTGTCTTGCAACTCTGAGATGATCTCATAGAAGGGCCACCTAAAAAGTTAGGGGTGCTGCTATGGTGTTACTTCAACTATAAAACTTCCTCTCTCAGCGCTTTATTCCTAGTCCAAACAAAAAGGTTGCATTTTATATCTTCTTTGAATTTTAAGAATGCCACTTTAATTTTTAAAAACTTTTTAAAAAAAGTTTAATTCCAGTAGGGTGGAATTCTCTCTTCCATATCGGCGTTCTGCACGGTAGTCTGCACCAAGATCGGGCTTTAAAGAGACCTACAGGAGGGTGGGCGAGGAAGCCTGCCGGTTCCGTATCTCTTGACAGGAGTTTGATTTACACAAGTGTGTGCATTTGTCAAATTCTTCACTATATTAGCTTTAGGTGTACGATTTAATGACTCAACACTTCTCTACGTTACTCGGTGCTCATCACGCGTACTCTTCATCCCCATCACCTGTTTCCCCCAGCCCCGCACCCACCTGCCCTCTGGCAACCGTCAGTTTGTTCTCTGTAGGTAAGAGCCTGTTTCTTGGTTTGTCTTTCTTTCTTTCCCTTTGTTTTGTTTCTTAGATTCCACATATGAGTGAAATCATATGGTGTCCTTCTCTGACTTAGTTTGCCTTAGCACAATACTGTCTAGCTCCATTTATGTTGTTGCAAATGACAAGATTTCATTCTTTTTCATGGTTGAATAAATATTCCATTACACACACTCACACACGAATGCTACTTTAAAATGAACTTTGTTTTCGGGGCGCCTGGTTGGCTCAGTCAGTTAAGCATCTGACTTCAGCTCACGTCATAATCTCAGGGTCTTGGGATCGAGCCCCGTGTCGAGCTCTGTGCTCAGGGGCGGGGGATGCGGGGGGAGTCTCTTTGTCTCTGCCCCTCCCCCTGCTCATGCTCTCTCTCTCAAATAAATAAATAAAATCTTAAAAAAAATAAAATGAACTTTGTTTTCATCGAAATCCCCACTGCAAATCACTGTAGTCTGCACCAAGATTGGGCTTTAAAGAGACCTACCGGAGGGTGGGCGAGGAAGCCCGCCAGCTGGCTGGCTCCAGCCTCTGGGCCCCTTATCTCCCTTTTCAATCAGAACAATTCCTCCCTTATTGGATTTTTGTTTATAGCTTTTCTTTTGACATAAAATTTACATGCACCCAAACACCCAAGTCCTCAGTGGACTCCTCTGAGTCTGACAAATGCACACACTCGTGTAAACCAAATTCCTGTCAAGAGATACGGAATACTTCCATCGCCTGCCCCCTGTGTGTCCCTCTCTGGCTGACCCCTGCCGCCATGCCCAGCACGGAGTAGTCTGGCCTGTTTCAGAATGTCCTTTGAATGGAACCCCACACTATATATAGCCTGTTCTGTGTGGCTTCTTCCCTCAATGATTTTGCAATTCATTCACATTTTGTGTGTGTCATCAGCTGTTTTCCTACATTTTGGTTGTTCTCAGACTAACCCTGTAAGTTTTTGTTTGAAGAAAGGGTTCCAGTAGCTTAAGAAATCTGAAAAACACTGACTTATCAGAACCTATTAGAAAAAGACGATGACCCACGACACCCCGGAGTGGTCCATTTGTTTTCTTGTTTTGGTGGGGAAGAGCAGCAGATTCACCTCGACGGAGCACTTGGGCAGGAGAAAGCTCCAGAAGGGGTTACCGTGTCAGTGACCCTTTCAGCCTAGTCGCCTCCACAAAGGCACCAGAACTACTCTCCACCCACCCCACAGGGATCTACCTAGAGCCCACCAAGGGAACAGACGAATCTAACTTCCCAGCCTTTAGGGAGTTGTACATTCTAAGATCTTGACCTACTCGGGCTTTGGAGCTGCCATTTATAAACCTGAACGCACTCCATTGAGAGTTCAGGTATTAACTCCGTTCTATCGAATGCAGATACACTGCATTTTTATGATGTAAAACACTGAAATTTTTTTCTGAGGATTATTTTTTCATTATGATTGCTTTGAATATTAAAAGGATATTAATCGGCAAAAGATAATGGCAAGTGCTCTATTTTCTGCTTATATTTCTAATATATGATTAAAAAATATACCCAAGAGCAGAAGCAGAATGGGGCCTATCACTACAGATAATTCAGACATCAGAAGGGAAATAAACGAGGATTAGCTTTACATACATTAGCTTGACACCTAGGTGAAATAGAACAATGTCTCAAAAATACAAACTACTGAAACTTACCATATGTGAAACTGATAACTTGAACAGCCCTATGAACTAACTAGTCCCCACCCAAATCTCTACTCCAAGGTTTCACTGGAGAATTCTACCAAACATTTATGTTAGAATGAACACCAATTCTTCCACCAATTAATACATTATCTGTTCCAGAAAACAGAAGAGCAAAGGATACTTCTCAGTACCGTTTATTAGGTCGGTATTACTCTGATGCCAAAAGCAAAGATAGTACAAAAAGGGAAAACTCTAGGCCAAATCCCTCATGAATATAGATGCAAAAATCCTCAACAAAATATTAGCAAATACAATTCAGCGATATATAAGAAGACCAAGTGAGGTTTATCCCAGAGATGCAAGGCTGGCTTAATATTTGAAAATCAACCAATGTAATCCACAATGTTAATAAAGAAGAAAAAAAAATCCACACAATCATATCAACTGATGCAGAAAAAAGCATTTGACAAAATTCAACACCCATCTATTGTTTGATTTTTTAAAAAATTATTCAATCATTTATTCCTTCTGAAGTTTACTTTGGAATTAGTATAAGATGTAGCTCTAAAGTAATCAAAAGTTATCACCAATTTATCCTAGTATCATTCAACCTTTGCCCTTTGATTTCTGCGGCTTACATCACAAATCATCTAATTCACACACACAGGCACACACACAATATAAATACAAAAAATGTACGAGTCCTCTTTGTAGGGTTTCTGTTTTCCTGATTATAGTCTATATATGGTGCTTTGCAGCAGACTTACTGCGTTTGCTCATTTCCTGTCTTTGCTTGTTTTTCAGAACGTTCTTCAGTATGCTATTATTTTTTCCAACTACCTATTTTCCTAACTACTAATAGTTTTAAGTTACTAATATCAATTATTCATCCTTCTTTATATATCTGAAATAATTAAACATATTTAAATAACTAAACAAGTTTCCTGTGAATAGATCAGTATTATATATACAATGTTACAGACAAAATGCAGAGGAGTAACCTTATTATTTCTTCTTTTACTGAGTAGCAAACATTCTATGTTGTCTGCATATATTCTTTAGAAATATTTGAAGCATGCTCACGGGTGCATGAAATAGGTAAGGCAGAGAGACTCGACATAATTTTCAGCAATAAACTACTTTGTTCACAGCTGCTTTACAGTGGGGGAGTTATTACTCAAGGAAGAGCAAATGCAACAAGCCAGTGCAGAGACACAGAAGGCCCAAATTCACTCACCCAGATATTTAAACCCAGCGTTTTCTGTTCACTCTTACCTTCAAAGAGAGAGTAGGGTCTGTCGGGGATGCGGCACCCATGTGCTCCATATTCTAGACACCACTCTGCAAACTAAGGGGAAACACATTTAAGAGCAGAGATTTCACTTGGTGAAAAGGCAGCAAATGAGACACTGCAATGAATTCACCAAGCACTCGAGGAAGAGGGTTCCCGGGCAAGGGGTACTGCTGGGCCAGGAGAAACAGGGGAGACCACAGAGCTGGGAGAAACCGGTTAAGAGAAGGAGGGGAGCTGTAGTTTTGGATTTTGTGCATGCTCTGGAGTATTCCCAAGTTGTCTCCATTAAGACTCCTTACTTTGCAAGCTCGGTAGAGATATTTTTTATCCTGCGTGAGATGGTACAGGGACAGGAATGAATAGCCGTTCCCGGCTGTCCCGTGGCAGATCCCGTAGCCCTTCCGAAGCAAACCTCGCTGCCAAATGACATCACTACACTCCATGGCATCTTTCAGGTATTTCTCCTCCTTAAAGACCTGGGCAGTGAAAAGCAAAACAGCGTGAGAAAGATGTTTTCGATGATGACTTAGCAAAACAGTTTCCCTTTCTGGCTAGTCATTGACACCTTAGGAAACCTGAACCTGAAACCTTACCCCCTCTGGGGGTAAACACGACCACCACCAGCAACACCACAGTACCGCACCTCACGATCTTAATCTACCCATCTCTTCCCCTTGTCCTCCCAGTTCATGGTTCTGCAAAAGTAGTTCTAAAATTTAGTTAAAAAATTAAAACAGAAGCTACCAGAAACCAAGAAGCATTCTGTAATTCCCAGAGCAATATGCCCTGCAGCACTAACACGCTCCTGGTGAAGTCACCTGAGGGACTGACGGTCCCACAATATCCTGTCAGCTAGGTCAAGAATACTCAGTATCCCGGGTCAGCCCCATTATCAGTAAGACCCGGATGGCCTGGCACTTCAGGGCTGGTGCGATCTGTCATAATCCATCACACGGAAACCAGCATGGAGCTTCCTGCAGTCCCCGGAGCAGACGTGCCTGGGCTGCACGACTCACTGGCACGGTCTCCACCGAGTGGTTTCTACGTCAAGAGACGGATGAGCTCGCCGAAGACAAATGCCCGGCAGGAGGAGGCTGTCTGTTTTTGCCTCCTCAAATTCCCTTTTAAATTTTCTTCTCTTTCCCCTCACGTTTCATTTGTTTCGTTTCTCCAGTCCTTCCCTCAGAATCTGCTGTAATCTCCACTCGCTTAGCTCATTCCATGCTAGTGTAAATGAATTAAGAGGCAAAAGGGTCCTCAGAGAGGATCTCCTTGGGGGGAGCAAACAGGATTCATCTACCTGTGACTGATTAGCAGTGACCTCAAAAAAAAAAAAAAAAAAGATGAACTATGTGCATCAGTGTCTGCAGAGGGTAGAAGGGCAAAGAGAGAGACATTTGCATTTCACTCACTATTCCTGATGCAGAATCTATTCACCAGGGTCAGAAGCAAGACTCTTAGCTCATGAAAGCAACTGAGATGTGCGCTCTGGGGTCAGACTGCCTGAGTTCGAATCTCAGCTCTGTCACCTTGTAACTGTGTGGCCTGGCCTTGGACAAGTGGCTCAATGTCTCAGTTTTCTCAACTCTAAAAGGATACTAGTTCTTCAAGTCAGTGGCTTGTTATGAGTATTAATGACACCAAATCAATCAAATGGGGGAAAAGAAAAGTCTTTCCAAGAAACAATGTAGGAACAATCAGATATCCTGATGCTTACAAAAAAGAATCTCTCTTCTTACGTCACATATACAAACCTAATATACAAAATATACATGTAATATATAAAACGCAGTTAGAGATAGCTCATAGTTCTAAATCGAAATCCGTGCAGCTTGGAGAAGAATATTATCTGTAACCTGGGGGTAAGTAAAATTTTGTGACAATTAATAAAGGGAAACCTCACTAAAGTGGAGTTGGGAGGTTAGAAGGGCAAGCCTGCCACTCTACTCAATTCCAGAAAGACTTGTCGATTACAGACCCCAACAGAAGAGGGAACAGGAAACAGGAAAGAATCATCAGTTATAGGCCCCAACGGGGAAAAAAGGTTCACCGCATCTCCTACAAGAATTCGACTACCCCTGCAACTCAGCCAATGAGAAACTGGCATGACCCTGAACTCCTGCTTTTTTCCAATGGACTGACATTCAAAACCACCTCTCCCCTGCTCGTTCTTCTCCATAAAATAATGTTCATCTCCTTTGTTTGTTGGACTTGCCTACGGTTTTGTCATAGCTTGCATATCCCAAAATGTAATTCTCCGCCATTCTTGAATAAGCCCATTTTGCTGGTAAAATAACTGGCTGTTTTTTTTGGTTAACAACTTCTTAGACAAGATACAGAAAGAAATTACCATAAAAAACTTGATAAAACACAGACTTTACCAGAATTAAAAACTCTATTCCTCAAAAGATACCATAAGGATTATGATTAGGCCAACTACAAAATTATTTCCAGGGTCGAGCTCTGCATCGGGCTCCCTGCTCCGCGGGAGGCCTGCTTCTCCCTCTCCCACTCCCCCTGCTTGTGTTCCCTCTCTCACTGTGTCTCTCTCTGTCAAATAAATGAAAAATCTTAAAAAAAAAAAATTATTTCCAAAACACCTATCTGACAAAGACTTGTAACCAGAACATAGGAAGAATCCTTACAACTCAATAATAAAAAGATAAAAGATTAAAACAACGTGGGTAAAAGGAATGAACAGACGTTCAACAAAGCAAGATACGTAAACGAGCCATGAACACAAGCAAAATTGCTATCCATTAGAAACTACAATGAAATATCCGCCAGAATATAATTAAAAAGCCTTTCAGTACCACGTGTTGCCAAAGATGTGAATTCTCTTACATTGTTGATGGGATGTAAAAGGTACGACAGCTGTTACTTTGTGAAAATGTCTGGCAGTTTCTTACACTTACTTTCTGATCCAGCAATTTTACTCCGAGGTACTGGCCCAAAAGGAATGAAAACACATGTCTACAAAAAGACCTGTACAAGAATGTTCATAGCAGCTTATTCATAAGAGTAAAAAACTAGAAACAACTGGAAAAAAAACTGATAAAGTGGTAGATTTATATAAGGGATGCTTACACTCAGGAAGGTATCAACCACCTTGAGGAAGAAGGAAAGAAAGTATAATTTGAAAGAATCTCTCCAGCTGATTCTGATATGCACTCCTTCAAGATATTCCATGTTTCAAATAATCAACTTACAAATGAGCTTTTGGAACACCGTTTATATGAAAACATTTTCTGATGTCTGGTCAACGGCTGACCATCGGAGAGCATAAGGCGTGGTGGTTTCCTACTTTAAGGAATCAAAAGATTACATCGATATCACTTTGGTATGACTTATATGGTTTTCCTGGGCCGCATATTGGTAAATACCTTCCCAAATACAATTTTCATTTGACCAGTGTTAGCATCTGTTTACAGTGGCTGAATCCACATACTGCTAATGCTGGAGGGCCCATGTGTGTAGTTAGAAGGTAGAACTGGTTACCATCGCTTGTAGTCTACTGTCAGATAATCAAGAACTGCTCAGCAAAATAGCTTCCAGCTATAGGGTCCACAAATGTAATCTGCTAGAAAATCATTTGCAAGTAATATAATTCTTAATATAGCACAGAATATTATTAAAACCCTGACATTTTTCAAGGATCATCTAGAATACAATATAATTTTAAATTAACAGTGTATGTTCATACAAAGTAGAGTCCACCCAACTAACACATATGATGAGCATCTCTAGGAAGGGAAAACAAATTAAGTGAAACTAAACTCAATTTATAGTTTTATTTGTGAAGGATATTAATATTTTTTGCAAACACCTGAAAACCTTATGCTTTCATCAGTATTCTTGAAGAACTTATATGAGTTCACATGCCAGCAAGAGAAAATGTTGAAAACTTATATAAAATGCAAGCACTTCCTAATTCTGAGACAGCCTCAATGAATGCAGATGCTCTTAATTTGAGTTAACAATAACTTGAGAGAAAATGGACCCTCGACCTTTGCATTTCCACCCCACCCCCTACCCTGTCTCTGCCCACCCCACCCTCCGCCTTGGCCAAACACCAACCTCACACTTCACTCATATATTGTAAAACTCTATCATATATGCCTTTTCAAGTTACCATTGAGGCCTTCTGCCCCCAAAGATTCTGATACTCCTCGCCTTCCTCATGTTTGAGAATCTTGATGTAAATGGACAAAATTAAGTTTTAGTGACTAAGTACGGGATCGTAATGTCTTTGCTCTATGCTTAAGAGAAGAGGGAACTTGCTGTTTCGGAAGAAGGCAGGGACAGACATTCCGATGATATTCTGAGCCAAAGCCGGATAGGCAGCAGCTGCTGGGAGGCATCTGTGGTTTACCGAGAGCAGGGCTCTGCTATGGGTGCTCTGTGTGCTCCCCGTGTGACCAGCGGCCGTAGAAACAGACGGCGTGACACCCAACGGGGCTAGGAGAAAGGGATCTCCCTAGGCTGATGGCCCCATTGGACGTCCTGGCTCCTGATTACCTGCTTACCGCTCTCTCGGGGAGCGGGGGAGACGGGGGGGCCGGACGGGACCCTCAGAAGCCGAGACCGTCAGCCACCAGGAGGGCCCACCTGCACTGCTTGCCCTCTTTAATGTGAAAGAGAAAAAGGCGCCCGGCAAACAAAAGCTTTCACTTTTTCTCAAAGTCATACATCTGTTTTAAATATCGAAGGGTCCTTGTTTGTCAACAATATACTCGTCATGGTTGGACAATTACAATATTAGAGACTTATCTCGATGTCACTGAAGTTACATCATTCTAAGGCTCTAAAAAAGGGAGGCACTGATTTGAACAGAATTTTATTTTATTTAAAGACTGAGGTATTAGGCACCTGGGTGGCTCAGTTGGTTAAGCGACTGCCTTCGGCTCAGGTCATGATCGCAGTGTCCTGGGATCGAGCCCCTGCATCGGGCTCCCTGCTCACCGGGGAGTCTGCTTCTCCCTCTGCTCCTCCCCCTCCTCGTGCTCTCTCTCTCTTAAATGAATAAATAAAATCTTAAAAAAAAAATCAAAATAAAAATAAAGACTGAGGTATTGTTAAGAAGATGAATCCTTAAATTCTTTTGATTTCCAAAGAGTATATTTCACTATGCTTTTTCTTTTTATCATAACTTTCTGAGTTATTTTCTTAAATGCTCATACCTGACTCTTATATTTGAATATTTTAGGTGTTACTCTTGTAGGAGGACTAAAAAATTCTGAAAAATTAGGCAAAATCATGAGATTCCCCACAATTTTTCTAAATTATTATGGTTAGTCACAAAGGGAAAATAAAATTGATTCCGGGATTAGTTCTTTTGTTATTTCTAGGTAGAAATACGAATTCTGCTTCATTAATTCTATCTATTTCTACAAAACTAAGAGACTTTGCCAAAACACTAATCAATCATGTGGTTACTCAAATATTACAAATAAAGATGCATTAAAAAGATAAAATTACAAAAGAAGCATTATTTACAATCCAATTAAAAAATGGGCAGAGGACCTGAACAGACATTCTTGCAAAGAAGACATACAGATGGCTAACAGACAGTGAAAAGATATTCAACAGCACTAGTCAGCAGGGAAGTACAAATCAAAATCATAATGAGATATCATCTCACACCTGCTGGAATGGCTAAAATCAAAAAGATAAGAAATCACAAGTGTTGGAGAGGATGTGGAAAAAAAGGAACCCATGCACACTATTGATGGGAATGAAAATTGGTTCAGCCACTGTGGAAAACAGTATGGAGGTTCCTCAAAAATTTAAAAATAGAGATAACATATGATCCATTAATTTGACTACTGGGTATTTACCCAAAGAAAACAAAAACACTAATTCAAAAAGATACATGCACCCCTGTTTATTGCAGCATTATTTATAATAGCTAAGATATGGAAACAACCTGAATGTGCATTGACAGACAAATGGGTAAGACGTGGTGTGTGTGTGTGTGTGTTTGTAATATATTACTCGGTCATAAAAAAGGATGAGATCATGCCATTTGGTACAACATGGGTGGACCAAGAGGGTATTATGCTAAGCGAAATAAGTCAGACTGAAAAAGACAAATACCGTAAGATTTCATTCATATGTAGAATCTAAAACAGAAAAATGAAGAAACAAACAAAAAGCAGACTCATACCTGTAAATACAGAGAACAAACTGATGGTTGTTGGCGGGGTTGGGCAAAATGGGTGAAGGGAGTAGGAGATAACAGGCTATGGAATGAATAAGTCACAGGAATAAAAGGCAGAGCATAAGGCATATAGTTAATGATACCGTAGTAGTGTTGCATGGTGACAGATGGTGACAGATGGTGGTTACACTCGTGGTCACAGCATAATGTGTAAATTGGGGCAGCACTATGTTGTACATCTGAAACTAATACAACATTGTGTGTCAACTGCATTCAAATAAAAACTTTTTTTTTAAGATTTTATTTATTGATTTAAGAGAGAGAGTGAGCCTGAGGGGAGGGGCAGAGGCAGAGGGAAAAGCAGACTCCCTGCTCAGCAGGGAGCTCAACGCGGGGCTCAATCCCAGGACTTCGGGATCAGGACCTGAGCCAAAGGCTGACGCTTAACCGACTGAGCCACCCAGGTGCCCTCAAATAAGAAATTTAAAAAATAAAACCAAATGTGGTATAGTCTTCTAAAAAACTTGCTTGAAAACACCGTTTTCTTTAAACGTGAATTATTTTTCCAAAAAATGTTAAAAAACTTAAATGTTATAGGATACAGTAAGCTGTTTGTAATTTCAACTTCTATTTAATAAAATAGTAAGAGAACGCCTTTACGGGGCGCCTGGGTGGCTCAGCTGGTTAAAGTGACTGCCTTCGGCTCAGGTCATGATCCTGGTGTCCCAGGATCGAGTCCCCCATCAGGCTCCCAGCTCAGCAGGGAGTCTGCTTCTCTCTCTGACCCTCCCCCCTCTCATGCTCGCTTTCTCTCTCTCTCTTCTTAAAGAAAGAGAAAACACATTTAAAGACAACCTAAAAAAAAAAAAAGAAGCATTGTTTGCTTTCAACTTACAAGGTTAATCCTTAGTCCAGGAGAAAAATCGAATGCATTCTTAATATTGTGCCCAAATATTATCTTGAGACTACCATATTATTCAGTAAAGGGACTGCCTATTTTTCTATAATACCCCATATGTGTAAAACTTTGAACATCACACTTCTCCCTTATGAGTAATTTTATAACAATTTTAAACTCAAACTTAAAGGGCCCCAAATAAGCATCATCATCCAACAATAAAGACTTATTCAACCAAGAACATAAAATGATGTGAAGTCAAACAAAAAAGCGTTTAGTTATAATAATGCCTACTGCCTTCTCGGATATTCACACGCAGAATAAAAATCATTACTATGCTGTCCCCCAGGTTTTCTTTTTACATATGAATATAATCCCTGTTAAAATACACATACATACCCTTATAGCTCCAACTACAGGGGTGATAAAGTGAAACAGGGAGATTTTGTTTTGTAAAAACATTGATTCGAAAAGGTTTTTAGTTTGCCATCAAATGTGCTGGCCAAAATCAAAATGAGAACCTGGTGGAGAAAAGTGGATTTCTAAACATTAAATGCTTGTGATCAACTGGAGGTACTGACCTTGTAAGCTTGCATAAGCATGTGGATGACACCGGGCGCACCATGGCACCAGTGGACCAAGCGATCTGTTTCATTGCTTAATGATGACGGATAATTCCCAGATCGGAATCTTTTGTGGCGCACATAATCAATACTAGGTTTCACCATTTCTGTCAAGGTTTCTTGGTCCACTTTTGCTGCTGGCTTTAAACAAATGAAAAAAACCCAAAACATTTAGTTTTCCTTACGTTTTTTTTAAAATTTTATTTTATTATGTTAGTCACCATATATCATTAGTTTTTGATGTAGTGTTCCACGATTCACTGTTTGCGTATAACACCCAGTGCTCCATGCAGTACGTGCCCTCCTTAATACCCATCACCGGGCTAACCCATCCCCTCACCCCCCTCCCCTCTAGAACCCTTAGTTTGTTTCTCAGAGTCCATAGTCTCTCATGGTTCGTCTCCCGCTCTGATTCCCCCCCCTCATTTTTCCCTTCCTTCTCCTAGTGTCCTCCATGCTATTCCTTATGTTCCACAAATAAGTGAAACCATATGATAATTGACTTTCTCTGCTTTACTTATTTCAAGCATAATCTCCTCCAGTCCCATCCATGTTGATGTAAAAGTTGGGTATTCATCCTTTCTGATGGATGAATAATATTCCATTGTATATATGGACCACATCTTCTTCATTCATCTGTTGAAGGACATCTCGGCTCTTTCCACAGTTTGGCTATTGCGGACATTGCTGCTATGAACATTGGGGTGCATATGGCTCTTCTTTTCACTACATCTGTGTCTTTGGGGTAAATACCCAGGAGTGCAATTGCTGGGTCATAGGGTAGCTCTATTTTTAATTTTTTGAGGAACCTCCATACTGTTTTCCAAAGTGGCTGTACCAACTTGCATCCCCACCAACAGTGTAAGAGGGTTCCCCTTTCCCCACAGCCACTCCAACATGTGTTGTTTCTTGACTTGTCAATTTTTGCCATTCAAACTGGTGTGAGGTGGTATCTCAATGTGGTTTTGATTTGAATTTCCCTGATGGCTAATGATGATGAACATTTTTTCATGTGTCTGTTAGCCATTTGTATGTCTTCTTTGGAGAAGTGTCTGTTCATGTCTTCTGCCCATTTTTTGACTTGATTGTGTTTTTTTTAAGCCTTTGTACTATAGCTAATATGGCAAAGCATCCATTACCTGGAATACTGAGAAACATATAAAATTCAAATTAATTCACTTATCTGGTTATTTAAGACTTGGGCAGACCTTGTTTTATTTCAACTTGTTGTGATATTGAAGATGACGTCTGAAGGCCATCTGCTGGAGAATTCCCTCTTGCTCAGGGCAGGCCTTTAACTGACTCAATGAGGCCCAGCCACATTATGGAGGAGAAGCTGCTTTACTAAAAGCCCAAGCATTTGTAAGAGTGCTGACAATAATGATTCATCTTTGGCCCTCCATCTTGTTCATGTTTGCTCAGTGGCCTCTCTTGTGGCTATGTGTTCCGGGCCCCTTGGAGAATGACATACATACCTTAGAAATGCCAGTCAAGGCAGGGATGGGGGGGGACGCCTGTTTTGGCCTCTCATGAATCTGTCAGAGATAACATAGTCTTGCCCCTTCCTGATGCACAGCTGCGGCCACAAGATCTCATTAAAGGGTAGCTGTCAATTAGGTGCCTGCAAGCCCTCCGAGGTGTGTGCAAACGCTCTGATCTCACTACAATGCCCTTCTGCATGTCCCCTCCCTCTACAAAATCTAGGGACTAAGGTCTGGACTTTGCAGAGAATAACTATGCAGCGGCTGTAGATCATCCTCTGCCCGATCCCCCCCGTCAGTAAGGTACCCCGAATAAAACTCTGTGTAAACTCTATGGAGTGGCCTGCTTCGTTTTCTGGTCTCGAAGTGTCTTCTCAGTCGGGGGAGACTTTCCTGTCCCTCCCCCACCTTCTAACACCATTTAAGTGTAAATCTCACCCAAAATGTCCTCACAGAAACACCCAGAAAAATGTGTGACCACATACCTGGGCGCTGTGGCCCAGCCAAATTAATATCTAATATTAACCATCACAGAGAGCTAGCTCACATTTTTAATGGGGGCTTTGAAATACCTACGTCTGTCAATCTTTTATCTGAGCTGTTTCTCCAACATACAACAACAACAACAGCCCCACGTCAATCGCCCTCCTGGAACGTTGGCGGTGAGACCAAAGGGGGAGGGGGGGCGCGATTCCGCCCGTGGGGGCAGGGAGGGCGCGCCCAGCACCCTGTGGCCTTAGAGGCCGGCCCGCTGCGTTCGGCACTGTGCTTCGCTTCAACTACCCTCTACAGCCGTCTTTCTGGAGCTGAAAGATCTGGTTCAACTCCTCCGGACCCTCTCCTTTTGTCTCCAGCAGCAGTTAGGGGGGAACAGTCACGGGGCAGGGCGACCCTCCCGAAGGAGATCCAGCCACTCCAGCTGAAGGCTTCGAGCGCAGCCCTCCTGCGCCCACATGTCCTGCCCCGAGCGCACCCGGCGGGGCTCCCCTTCCGCGGTACCGGCATGTTCAGCTCCGGCGGGCTCGCGTGTGCTCTTCTCCACCCTGTCTGGTCGTTTGCCATTCTGCCCTCTAGTCTCAGTCTACCTGTTCGTAGTCTGGGCCTCCGGATGGTCTCCTAGTCTCATCAGGGAAGTTGGGTTTCATAGTTGCACGTTTTTCACTTTAAAGGCAGATAAAGGGCACAACCTTGGGGACTTGTGTTTCTCTCAAGGAAACCCCGGATATCTAACAAAATTAACCTCAACACCTACATCTAAACTTTAAGGTTATGTCTTATTGGTGTGGTTTTCATATGGTTAATGTTCCCCTAAGCCAAGTTTCAAAAGCTGGTGTTAAAACATTTTCTTGGGGAAACAGAAAACAGAGACAAACTACCAACTTTCCAGAATAATAGTGCTATTTTAAAAAGAGAGATGGACTTCTAGTTACTTTGAAAACATGTGTCTGCACTATAAAGAAAATTCACAAATTGGGATATATATGTTTTGCTTTCTACAACAATAAACAAAGACAACTAATTACCAGAAAAGGGGGTTTTAGGCCCGTTTAGATATGAATCTCCTTTAATGGTAGAGTAGGTTTAAAAAAGGGATTTGAAGTAAAAATTTTTAGCTTTTAGTGAAGAAGTTTTAACCTAAATGCTAATCCATGCTCCTTGACTTGCTAGCTTTGTGATTTTTGAGCATTAACTACTCTGTTATGGGTGTGGTCGATAAAGAAAGGCTTAATTGGGGAAAAAAAAAAAAAAAAGGCTGTGTACGCAGCAGGGAAGGGCACCACAGGCCATAAGGCCGGAAGCTGGCTGAAGCACTATTTGGGGGGGGCGGTCTCTGCCTGCCTGACAGAACGGGGACTACTCAGTTCAAGCGATATCAGGCATGACTGAGAGACCAGATCAGAACCACAACAATAAACTAGTTGAAAGTTTAGAACACAACCGAAAGCAAGCTGGGGGTATCTGAATAGGAAAAAGTCTCTGCCTCAGTCGGGATTCTGGAGGCCCTTTCTGCTCTGAGGGTTCCCCTCTATTCAAAGAGTAACGACTCCAATGAGCAGAAGGACATGGACCAAAGGAAAATGTGGCCACTAGACACCTAACCCAGTACAAAACCGCATGTACAATGTGCTCTTAGGGCGCCTGGGTGGCTCGGTTGGTTAAGCATCTGCCTTCAGCTCAGGTCATGATCCGGGAGTCCCAGGATCGAGTCCCGCATCGGGCTCCCTGCTCAGCGGGGGGTCTGCTTCTCCCTCTGACCCTACCCGTCCCCATTCTGCTCTCTCTCTCTCACATTAAAAAAAAAAAAGTGCTCTCAGCACTTCAGTGCTTGGGGTTCATGAAGCAGAGCTTAAGTACCCACGATTCAATGTAGGATCCTTATTTTATTTCAGCCTGCTTGACTTACACTAAAATTTCAGGCCCCATTTCCTCTCTGGCCGAGTATGTACATACTGGAGGCACTGTATTAGGGTTTCCCAGCACCCTTCCTTACCTGCATTAGCATGTAGTAGATCCCGGCCATGCCGTGAGCCGCTCCAACATACTGCTTCCTGTGCCACTGGAAGAGCAGCGGGCAGCGCTCGGCCTTCCTTTCTTCCCTCGACAGAGTCTTGCCTGACTCGATGATAGCGCTGACTACCTACGGGGGTGAGGAGACAGCGCTGGCCTAAAGAATTACGTGTATCCTGTTTTCGTCTAATTAACACTAACAATTCTATATAGATTTCTTAACCTAAAAATCTAGAAGCAGGCAGTAGCCACCACCGTTATCTTTAGCTTATAAATTAATAAATACAGGCAGAGAGAAATCAGAAGAGAAGAAGAAATTAGGAAGTCAAACCACGACGTTAAAAGTCCTCTGTATGAACAGTTTACTAGAATCTAGAAAAACTTCCTATAAAAACTATCCTAGACTACTTAGTTCCCTTGTAACTGCAATGTTTTCTCCAAAAGACTGGCAGTACATCTAGGAAAGCCTGGAGGAATTTAGCCTTATTTATGGAAGGCTAATGAAATGAGGTCTCTTGTGGCATGCAGATTTTAGTTAAATCAAAAGAATATCATATCTGTAATGACTATGTGGCAAAGACACAATTGTTCCCTCATATCCTTTCTCCTTCCACACTTTTGGTAACAGTGCTCTAAGTTTTGGCGGGGCGTCTGGCCTCTCAGCTACAGAAAGACACGGTCCTTTGACTAAGTTCTGGAAGTAGGATGTGAGCAGAAGTGAAGTAGACCACTTCTGGATCGTGGCCTTAAAAAAAAAAAGAAAAGAAAAAGGAAAAAAAGGAGCTGCTTATCCTCTACTTCCTCCCGTGTCTTGAGCCTGGGGGTGCTCAGTTAGCTTTGGGGATGCAGATGAGGGCATGCCCCTAGGATATGGGAGAAGACAAGAGAAGAACCCAGATCCTTAGCCATATTCACTGTGACTGCCTACCAGTTCAGATGATTTAGGAAAGAGAAATAAAGATTCTACCTTTTTGAAGCTGCTGTTGTTTGGTACTAGTAAAAACAGGTAAATTAATAGGCCTAAGAGGAGGACAGATTAAAAAAAAAAAAACATTCCTAGAAAGGAAAAAAAAGGAGCTATTTATTGCTTTTATGAGATGCCTGAAGAAATTACTCATACCCAGAAGAAGAGTCCAGCCCCTAACGTAGCCCTGTGCTAACAGACAGGTTGGGATGGTAGAGATGACAGGACGCCCATGGCTGACGGCAAGCCCACAGTACCTCTTTAATGGCTGACTCACACACGGTGCCTGGACCAATCTCCGTGTTCAGGTAGAGTAAGGCATACAGATAACCCGCCCGACCATAAAGCAGCTCATCGGGAAGCTCTGAATCTCGGCCCACGATGGTTCTCTGGAGCTGCAAAAGTCTACCCAACAAGAAAAATTCTGTTTTCCTGGAGAATGTGTGAAATTCCTCTTCCTGAAACTGTTAGTAACCCTATCAGTTTAGAAATAACCTGTTACTTATTTTTAATTTAAAACTGATTCTAAGAGGGCGCCTGGGTGGCTCAGTTGGTTAAGCGACTGCCTTCAGCTCAGGTCATGATCCTGGAGTCCCGGGATCGAGTCCCACATCGGGCTCCCTGCTGAGCAGGGAGTCTGCTTCTCCCTCTGACCCTCCTCCCTCTCCTGCTCTCTGTCTCTCATTCTCTCTCTCTCAAATAAATAAATAAAATCTTTAAAAAAAAAAAAAAACTGATTCTAAGAAATACAAACAAAACCCAAACAATAAAAACTTCTCCACTACACTAATTTCCCTCAGATAGCACATTAATAACAACACACCTTCCTGTTCAGAATATCTACCTTGATACCTAGTCTAAACCTTGTAAGAGATGATACTCAATTTTGAAATAAGAATTAGAAGAAAATGATTTAAAATTTAAAAGAAATTTTAAAATAAATTAAACTTTATTTTTTAAATTTTTTTTGAAATTACACTTAATTTAAAAGAAATTAAAAGAAATAGTACTAAAATGTAGTCAATGTTTGGGAATTAGCTTGACTCATTCTATCTTTCAGCAAACATCAACTGACTAGCGTGTGCCAGACACTCCACCAGACCACGGGAGTAGGCCCTGATTTCTACCTCTTCGAAAAAGAATATAAACCAAAAGGTGCAATAAAAGTTTTATACTCTCTAACTGTTCCAAAACAAATGAACCTAAAAAATAACTTAGGATAGTGAATCTAAGGCACAGATATAAGCTAACTTTCATGCAGTGAAGGCAACCAGAAATTATTTAGGAAAAAGAGTAAAGTCACACGAAGAAACAGGTCTATCTGTCCCCAGATTAAGGCAGACACAAGCTTGGATAGAAAGGAGGCATATGATCTTCTCATTACGCTCAGCGTTAACATACAAACCTCCTTCACTTCTAGGAAAGATCTGTTGGCAACAGCAGACGAATTAAAAAATAATTTCCTTTTTGAATGTCTTTCTACAGTAAGACCTTGAATTGAGAATTTAGAAAAAATACTTCCAGTTTGAAAAACTCACTTTGTGATGCATTCCTGGGACTCACAGTCGCTTCTGAGTTTGTGATACACCACAGCTCCTACAGCAAGGGGTCCGGCGTCTCCGCAGAGGAAAGTGACCCTGCGGCCATTCAGGTTCCGAAGTGTTCTCTTGACGTAATCCAGGGACCGGAGCAGGTGGGTCTGGTCACCCGTGACCCGATACAGCTGCAGGTACAAAAGGGCTATGCCTGGAAAATGCCCCCCCGGCCCCAAAGAAAAGCATCATTACCTTTCTTTTTCCACCTTCGGGACATTGTTTTATGATCACATGAAAAACTTACATAAACCCTAAGTTTCTGAAGGGGCATCATCAAACAAGTTACATCTGATACATCTTTGAAAAACAGAGACAAAGAAAAGCCCTCAGGGTAGAAAAAGCTTAAACCAAGTTGAAATCCATTATCTTGCTAGTTGCTTTGTTACAGTGATTCGGTACGTCCTAGACAAGGTAAATAAAACATTAAGACTTCCCAAACATTCCCATTTTCTGTATGCTCATTTCAAGATTTTATTCCTTCTCCACTGTATTTGAAGCTAACTTGGATCCTTTTCTTTTTACTTCTCATATAATCATTTCCAAATTAAATCACTACTTTCTAAACTGTACACCCCTTTCTTTCTAATTTTTCTATTTCTCACAAGTTTTCAATTTTCTTTAGTGACCAAGCTATCCAAATGAACAACCAACCAGTGAGTCAACTCACGGTTTATGGGATAGCCGTATGATGCAGAGTAAGGTAACAGACACAGAAGACAGAGTCTATCACCTATGCAACCTTCCTATCTTAAAGATTTTATTTATTTATTATTGAGGGAGAGTGCAGACTCCGAGCTGAGCGTGAGCCCCATGCGGGGCTCAATTTCACGACCCTGAGATCATGACCTGAGCTGAAACCAAGAGTCGGGTGCTTAACCCACTGAGCCACCCAGGTGCCCTGTAACCTTCCTATTTTAAAGAACAAATCCAGACACTTGAGTGAACCAGAAAGGGGTTTTTTTCTGAAAATCTACAGACGATGACCTACACAGCTTCTGAAAGAAGCCTGCTATTATTCCTGGACTCCAGTCACTATGATGGCTAAGTAAAAAAAAAAACAAAAAACAAACAACTGTATAAATATATACTTAATAAAATATATTACAGAGAAAGTATTGAAGAAAATGATATGATGGTGAAAAGGCCAAACAGAACATTTATTCATGTTTGAATTGGGATTCTCTAATATTATGTTCTTTGTCTAATACCCTACTCTCACTTCTATTATTTTTCATTTTGCTTTTTACTTTATGTTGTTTTAATTGTTTCACTTGCGTATATCTGCACACATTACAGCACTTTCACGTGTACAACACAGCATGGTTCACCATCTATGTTCTGCTAGGCACTGTGTTTTTAAATTTCTCTAAATAGGTAGGGTTTTTTTTGTCCTTTAATTCTCTATTTCAGAGTATCCTACTTCCTTTTCAAATGCTTAACCTCTCTCTCTCTACATATATTTGAAAAGTCCTTTTCTCATTTCTTTTTTTTTTTTAAAGATTTTATTTATTTATTTGAGAGTGAGAGAGAGAGCGCAAGAGGGGGTAGGGTTAGAGGGAGAAGCAGACTCCCTGCCGAGCAGGGAGCCTGATGTGGGACTCGATCCCGGGACTCCGGGATCATGACCTGAGCCGAAGGCAGTCGCTTAACCAACTGAGCCACCCAGGCGCCCTCATTATTCATTTCTTGAAAGTTGTTTAAGTCAGACAAATATAAAAGTACAGTATTTGTAAGCCTTGGAAAAGTATCCTTCCATAGGAATTATTTATGAGGTCCTGTCTTTAAGTTGTTTTTGTATTGAAGAAATTGAAATTACAAACATAAAGAAAGCAAGCTAAAGGTACCTAGAAATTTCAAACATACTCATTTTAAAAGGTTTACAAATAAGTACTTCATGATTGACTCAGAAATCCTTAAAAAATAGAATGATGATGTGGTCAGCCTATGAACCCTAAAACCTATAGTTATATATGTATTCAATGCTTAAATATTTTAATTAATTAAATAATTAATTTTAGGGGGGGAGGGGCAGAGGGAGAATCTCAAGCAGGCTCCATGTCCAGCACAGGGCCCAGTGTGGGGCTCACTCTCACAACCCTGAGATCATGACCTGAGCCAAAATCAAGACTGGGACTCTTGACTGACTGAGCAGCCCAGGCGCCCCTATTTATTTTTTTAAATGTTAGCCAGGTCTTTTTTTAATTAATTAATTTATTTTTAAGTAATCTCCACACCCAACGTGGGGCCCGGACTCTCAACCATGAGATCAAGAGTCACATGCTCTTCCACCTGAGCCAGCCAGGCACCCCAGTGCTTAAATATTTTAAAGTAAATGATAGGCAAAATATTTTTTTAAAAAGTCATCCTAACATTCTGCCCTTGAATACTTCAGTATGAATATCTAAAATATATAAAGCCAAAATAGCATTATAGCATTATAACTACCAAACTAATAATTAGTAAGTGAGACTGAGCTGTGGTATATTTTTTAAGTAAATCTTTATGTCAGTTTTGGTACCAGTATCATCCTTGCTTCATAAGATAATAGGAAGTATTCCTTATTTTCCTACCTCTGAAACAGTTTAAAAGTAGCAAAGAAAAAAAGTAACACTGAGATTTCCTGTTCTTTTTTATTATTTGATTTTTTAAATTTTATTATTTTTAAATTCTAGTATAGTTAAGGTACAGTGTTATATTTGTTTCAGGTGTACAATATAGTGATTCAAGAATTCTATACGTTATTCAACGCTCATCACAACAAGTGCACTCCTTAATCTCCATCGCCTGCTTCATCCACCCTCCCCTGCCCACTTCCCCCTGGTAACCATCAGGACATTATATACCACATCTTCTTTATCCATTCATCCATCAGTTGATGGACATTTGGGCTCTTTCCATAGTTTGGCTATTATTAATAATGCTGCTATAAACATCAGGGTGCGTGTACCCCTTCAAATCTGTATCTTTGTATCCTTTGGATAAATACCTAGTAGTGCAACTGCTGGGTCGGAGGGTAGCTCTATTTTTAACTTTTTGAGGAACCTCCTAACTGTTCTCCAGATTGGCTGCACCAGCTTGCATTCCCACCAGCAGTGCAGAGGGTTCCCCTTTCTCCATATCCTTGCCAACATCTGTTGTTATCTGAGTTGTTCATTTCAGCCATTCTGACAGGTGTGAGGTGGTATCTTATTGTGGTTTTGATTTGTATTTCCCTGATGCCAAGTGATGTTGAACATTTTTTCATGTGTCTGTTGCCCATTTGTATGTCTTCTTTGGAGAAATGTCTCTTCATGTCTTCTGCCCATTTTTAATTGGACAATTTGTTTATCTGGTGTTGAGTTGTGTAAATTCTTTTTTTTTTAAAATATTTTATTTATTTATTTGTCAGAGAGAGCACAAGCAGGGGGAGCAGCAGAGGAAGAGGGAGAAGCAGGCTCCCCATCAAGCAGGGAGCCCAGTGCGGGGCTTGATCCCAGGACCCTGGGATCATGACCTGAGCCGAAGGCAGACGCTTCACTGACTGAGCCACCCAGGCGCCATGAGTTGTGTAAATTCTTGACATATTTTGGATACTATCCCTTTATCAGATAAGTCATTTGCAAATATCTCCCATTCAGTACGTTGTCTTTTGGTTTTGTTGACCGTTTCCTTTGCTGTGTAGAAGCTTTTTATTTTGATGTAGTCCCACAAAAAGAGTAGCACTGGGATATCCTGGTCTTTGAAAGAAACTGTCTCTTAGTTTATTGTTTGTTTCCCCCTAGTTTTATTAAGGTATAAGTGACAAAATTGTATATGTAAGTGTACAACAGAGTGCTTTGATATATTTATGCATTGTGAAAATATTACCACAATCAGGTTAACAAATCCATTACCTCACATACCATTTATTTAATGTGTGTGATGAGAACACTTAAGATCTACTCTCTTAGCAAATTACAAGTATACAATACAGCATTATGAACTATAGTCACAATGCTGTACATTAGATCTAAGAAACTGGTGTATCTTGTAACTGAAGGTTTGTACTCTTTGACCACCATCTCTCCCATTTTTCCCACCCCGCAACCTGTGGTAATCACCATTCAACTCTGTTTCTGTGAGTTCATTTGTTTTAAGAATTCATATATATGTGAGATCATGGTTCTGTCTGGTTTATTTCACTTAGCATAATGTCCTCTAGGACCACCCATGTTGTCACCAATGACAGGATCGTGTTCTTTCTCGTGGCTGACTAATGTTTCATTACATCCACCTAGATGTAGGTATAGACACAGATGTACATGTACATGTAAATATAGATAGAAATAGATAAAGATACCACAACTTCTTTATCCATTCAACCATTGGTGGATACTAAGGTTGTTTCCATGTTTTGGCTATTGTGAATGATGCAATGAACACAGGGGTGCATGTATCTTTTCAAGTTAAGTTTTCTCCCTTTGGAAAAATACCCAGAAGTAGAATTGCTGGATTATCTGGTAGTTCTATTTTTAATTTTTTACATTTACATTCTCACCAAAAGTGTACTAGGGTTCCCCTTTCTCCACATCCTTGCCAACATCTGTCATCTCTTCTATCTTTAATAAAAGCCATCTTAACAGGTGTGAGGTGGTATCTCATTATGGTCTTGATTTGCCTTCTTTGGTCCTTGGCCCATTTTTTAAATTGGATGATGATGATGATCATCATCATCATCATCTTTACTACTGAGTTGTATAAATTTTTTGTATATTTTGGATACTGACCCTTTAGCATAAATATGGTTTGCAAATATTTTCTCCCATTCTGTGAGCTACCTTTTTTATTAACTGCTTCTCTTGCTGTGCAGAACTTTTTAGTTTGATGTAGTCCTCCTTGTTTACTTTTTCTTTTGTTGCCTAAGCTTTGGGTATACAAATAACCATTGCCAAGACCTGTGTCAAGGAGCTTTACCCCTATGTATTCTCCTTACAGTTTCATGGTTTCAGGCATTACACTTAAAGTCTCTAATCAATTTTGGGTTAATTTTTGAGAGTGGTATAAGATAGGGGTCCAGTTTCATTCTTTTGCATATGACTCTCCAGTTTTCCCAATATGATTTATTGAAGAGATGATTTTTCTCTGCTGTGTGTTCTTGTTCCCTTGGTCAAGGATTATTAACCATTTATGCTA